CTATTTTTTTTTATTTTACTTGCCAATTAATTATAATTCTAAAAAAATTGAAGCATCCGCATGCTGCTTGAAACCCCTATTTTAGTTCGTTGCCAAATTTCCAATTAACCAAAGACAAGAAACACAAAAAGAAAACAGAAATAACTATGTATGTAAACCTAGCTATTAGGCTAGCTACTCAAATATCAAAGGCAAGCGCTTGCAAAAGTAAACATCACAAAATTAAATATTTATTTGGTTGAATGTTTTCCAAAAACATTGAGTCATTACAAAAGACTTTGCAAGTTAATTTGATATACTGTTAATTTGTTAAAAAATGCATGCTCATACATATAAACATAACTTAAAATAACTTTATATAGTATATAAATACACCCAATAGGAAAAAGTTGAATAAGTCGAAAATGCGTACATATTTAGGCAAGCGGCGATTAACTAATTCTCAATTTCCGGCAATCGAGTTCGATAGTAGAAGTATCGAATGCGGTCAGCTTCATTTTAGGCACACAACGAACGAAAAATGACGCTGAAGATGGTACCACGCCGAAAGCGGTTTGTCTACAATCAAATTTGACAAGGTAGACCACACATCCACCATGTCGGAAACAAAAATTACCAAAAAAGAAAACAACAGCGCTATAAGGTTGTCTTTAGTTCTCAATTGACTTTAGTTCCCCTAGTTTTTTTCACCCGGAATTTCCCGCAGGGTAGATTTAAAAACACTAATAACATCGAGGCAGGTGCCCTCAGAAAGTAATGGTCTAAGTATAATGTTTCTTTTCTTTGTTTTCTTCGAATATGTATAAACATATTTACCTTTGACAGACAAATTGTCAATAAATCCATTAAACATTTCCTCCTCCTCTCATTTTGAATGCACTATACGAGTAAATACATACATATTAACAATATAAATGATCAAAGGCCTGCCAAGGCTGCTAAAAGTGTAGAAGAATGTGTTCTTTACAAAAAAAGCTTAAACGAGAAGATTCTTGTTTGAACTCTTAACGAAGTAGCAGGCCGATTCATTTTTTATATATTAATTATTAATATTTATTTTTGTTTTTTAATTCTAACCTCACTTTAATAGTTATGTATAGACATAAGCTTCTTTGTGAATACTTCGTACATATGTATGCATAACCTTTATGTTTTCCTATCTTTACAGGTTTTTCGCAAATAAAGAATTTTGGCATACCAGGTGGCTGTCTGACAGGTAAAATTAAAAAAAAAAGATTTAAAATTTAAATCCTAAATAGTTAGATTTGTATGAAATGTCTACAGGTTTTTCAGAAATTCAATATAATCTTCTTACCTCTTTCAATGCTCTATGACTTCTGGCACAAAATGCCTTCTTATCAATTCCTGGCTGAAAGAATGCACTTTTCTGACTTGAATGCGTTTTTGGCCAAACCGTATTTGAGAGGTATTCCCTAGGCTG